TATTGCCGCATTGAACGCATTTAGTTGGTTGAATTGATTGTGCGGGGGATGGTGTATTCACCTGGTTTGCCGGGTTATTCCGGCATTCCTCGGTTGAATGTGCGACCATGCGCCCCGGGTGAAATGAACAGCTTTGCAGGGGGCGTCCGTTAGCCGTTGTGGACGGCGTGGATGCCCGTGAGCTGGTGCGTGACATCGTGCATTCCGCCGTGCTGTGGAACACGTACCGCTGGTGATTGTCGCAGTAGTATTTCGTCACTCCCGATGCCGTCGTCTTGGGTGGGCGGTTGGCGGGTGATTGCGGTGCCGGTGATGCGGCCGATTTTGGTGGCGCCGGATGCGTCCTTCTATATTCGTCGGCGATTGTCAGGCATTCGTCCCATGTGAGGGAGCGATCGGCTGTCGCCCGCGCGTGAAGTTGCGCGTGAAGTCCGCCGGTGGTGATGGACAAGAGTTGTCCAATGAGGGCCCGCGTGATGGCGGTCTCATGTAGCCCGACCTCGTTGGGTGGTAGGGCGAGATAGCGGAGGTACTCGTCACGTAGGCGTGGACCGAACTGTGAGTATAGCTCGTCGGACGCCGGTCGGAACTGCTGAAACCTGGTAAAGTGTTCGAATGGGGATAAACCAAACCTGGCCTTGAGCTTCTCCGCGATGATGTCGTAGTCCTCGAATCCTTGATCATATAGAAGTTGTGCTGCTTCCGCTACTTTCGGTTGAGAGTGCCCGATGAGGCAGTCGACTCGCGTGAAGTTCGGCGTTCCGTCGTGTTTAAAGGCGGTGTCGAGGCGTCGCAGGTACATTTCGATGCTTTCGTTCGGGGACTGATGCGGGTAATCTACGCGTCTGCGCAGCAACGATCGGGCGAGCAGTTCTGTCGAACCGGGTCCCGTTTGGTAGTCCGGCGGTGAGCCGAGGATGATGTTGAGTGGCGTGGCGCCTCTGGCTTGCAGTGCGCTGATTAGTTCATCGCGTGGCACTTCGTTCGCATTTGGAATTCCGTTCGCTGTCGCGTACGTTCGGATGGCGTTGAGCATGAGGAAATTCCATGGATTGGCTGTCGCCCGTGGTTGTGATGTCCCTACCGGTTGTGGTGACGCGTTCGCGTTAGATGGTCCGGGTTGGGATTCACTTTCACTGCGGTCACTGTTCATGGCGGGTCGTCGTCGATCGGCTGAGCCCCCAGTAAGATTTGTTCACAGTCAGACTGAGGTAAGTTGACTGGCAATGATTCGACACAATATTAGAATACTGAGTCTATTCACATGCGGTCACTGTTCATGGCGGGTCGTCGTCGGTCGGCTGAGCCCCCAGTAAGATTTGTTCACAGTCAGACTGAGATAAGTTGACTGGCAATGATTCGACACAATATAAGAATACTGAGTCTATTCACATAAGCACACTGTCGCACACAATAAACAGAGAGGTCCGCACAGTTCGGAGGTTCGAGATAGAATGAGGCTTGGCGTGCCCCTCGTCACACAAGATGGCCGGTCGTTGGCGCGTGGGCCGTTGCGCCGGCGTACCCTGATTGGGTAGGAGATCTGAACGAAGCTCGATTCGAATACGCGTTTGTACAAGTCGCGCGGGACTAATGGCCGCTGGCCGTTACTATTTTCGTCCTTCTTAGAGGAAAAAGATGACAATTCATTATTCAATCATTCGTATGTACTGTGGGATCAATTTATTCAGTGAACGCTGACATAGCTTTTACAGTATATTAATCATCGAATTTAGTTTTTCCTGTATTGAGGAACTTTTTCAGATTATTGCAATTATACCCATGCCGTTTTTAGAGAATTGAGGATTATCGTTGTTGATTTCCCGCTTCAGTTTAACTCCGCCAGTGAAATCTTTCATTCGAATCTTGGGCAATTGATGGAAGAAAGCTTATTAACTTTTCGATTTTCTGGGTGAACAAATTAGTGGAATTAATTGGCTTTCGAAGGTTTAGGATCTTTTTCAAAGGTGAATTTTATTTATGGAAACCACTGATCGTGCGCAGTAATAAAAAAGAGGCGAATAAAAATGCCTTGAGGATGTTGATGATATTACGATCGAAGGAATTATCGCGAATATGATTGAAAACTCGCTGCAGTTACTTAAGAATCACGATGAAGGGGGACATTTTTCAAATGAGATGCTCTGATGGAGGAAGACGAGAAATCTTTAATGCCCAACATTTTCTGAACGTTCCCTCCAAGATTTTGCATAATTGCTCGCCGAGTCGTGGAATAATTGGTTTTCTGGAAGCCAGTGCACCTTGGCCTGAAGTGATTATTTCTCTGAACTGGTCGACGTATAATC